CGCCCCATACCCTTCTGTTCGCCCATCGACCAGCCCTTTAACCGAACCATTTAAATGCAAACGTCTACCCCAAAAAGGCACAAACCGAAACTGAACGAAATAAAGCTGATCCCTGACTTTTGTTGTTGATTGAATCCGCTGTTTGTTGTTGTTGGTGGACCAGTTAGAGCCTCTCTTCCCTTTGGCCGTATCTTTAACCGAAAATTGCACCTGCCCTCGATGTGTAGTTTGCACCTGCCCCATCATGCCCCATCGCCATCGTCGCAGGCGGTGGAGTTAAAAGCATCGCCGATTGCCCCTGGATGGGGTTTGTTTATTTGTTTCCCTGTTGTTGAGGTTATTTATTTTGGCATGTGGATGATGGCCACGATGCCCGTAGCAGGGGCAGTTCAATGTCCTTTGTGGTCAACGGGATTAGTCGGGGTTCTGTCGGCGATAAAGGGCGAGAGCTCAATAGTTAGAGGTACAAACAAAAGGGGGAACAGACAAAATAAGAAGCAAATAACCATGTCGTTTAAGTTTCCTTATTTAAAAATCCTGTAAGTCACCCCACAATACAAGTGGAAATTCGTTTTAATCGAGCTCACTCGCCTCGAGCACCTTACTTCATTTCAATTTAAATGCAAAACTTTGAATTCCAAATGCTCAAGATGTTGTCTGAGGGTTAGTTGTAGTAGGGAAATCCAGCCTGGTTGGACAAAGGAGTCAGCAAATGTCGTGGTGCTCAAGATGAGCACTCGAGGAGCAACATATTGGCAAACATGTTTATTTACAGCCCAGAAAAGAACAAGGACCAGGGCTCTAGAAGGCGGAGCGCAACCCCCAAATTCGCCAACCATGGAAACCAGAATTCGAAGGGAGAAGCGGAGGGAGCCAGACGCATATTATCATTGTCAGGAGAGACAGAAAAAGAAGCAGACGACGTCGAACAATTCGAGCAATTTCACTTCAAAAATTTGCGACGTTTAGCGCGCGATTGCCACAAATCAAAGCGACATTACCCAGCCTGCTCCTCCAATCCTCCAATCCAATCCACGTCGCCCCCTTTCTCCTCAGCCAGCTATTTTAGATAAATAAAAAATTGCAAGAAATCCCAGAAGCAATGGAAGCAACATATGCCCGCCAAATCAGGAGCAGACAAAACAAACAAAGACCAAAGGACAGACAGTTGAACGAGGGGAGAGTGAGACAAAGACCAAGAAGGACCAAGACGAAGACGAAGACGGCGACGAAGACAAAGACGCAGACAAGTCGCAGCCGAAAATGCTTTAACTACCACGACAAAAAAGAGGCACAATCTTTTGCAAAGAAAGGAAAAGTTAACGGAGGCAGGGCGGCTGACAAGGGGAAGGCCAAAGCCTGGGCTTAGAGATGATACACGGACCGATAAACCATAGAAGTTTTTGGAATATCAAAGTACCTTTAACGAGGCGAACAGAGGTCATTCCACTGATATAAAAAGCTGAAGCCTAAAACTGTAAAATGCCAAGGTTCTAATGTGCAGATTTATTTGCTGTTCAATAAAGATCTTTTATTTCCTGCTAAAAACTTACTGGAGACGTTTGTATGTCTAAACCTTTACAACCGAAGCGCGTGTCACGAAGGTACGCACTCGGCTCAACTCGATTTGGAGGGAACCAGCAGTCTGATATCCTGGGAATCGAGGAGGAGCGGAGTAAACCACGTCTGCAGCTGTCGACAAACGGGACGAATGTCGATGGCTGCCTCACTTCTTCGGTGCGTAAACGTAGACATAGCAGACGACAGTATTCCACTTCCACTCCAAGTGATTTGGGGTGCGCAGTGGGGGAGCGGAGACTCTTTGCCAGACGACAGCCACGAAATGATTGCCCTTCTGCCCCTTCTGCACCACCATCACCACCATCTGCAAAAATTTACGCGTCTCTGAACTTTGACCCTCAGACGATGCTGTTGCTTTTGCTCTGCGACTATGACTGTGACCTCTGTGGCCCTCAACATTGCCGCCCACCTCGCACATTACATTTTATGGCGCCTGTTTTGTTGCTGGCTTTGTTTGGCACTTTTTTATGCGAAATTAATTTAGAAAACTTTTTCTCGGAACCGAAACATGCCCGTTCAAACTGGGAGCGATACGCAATTCACTTTTCTGGCGAACAGGGGAGTGCCACTCATGGGGTTAATATTTGCCTTTGAGGAAGGGTTCACAAAGGTTAAAGTTCACTTGCAGCGTGTATAAGGTTACAAAATAACACAGGACACTGACAACGGTAAGTGACATAACAATGTTAACCTTCAAAAGAGTCACTGTAAATGGCAGCTTTGTTTAAAAATGCAACTACAAATAACTCCTTTTAAGGTTGACTAACATACATTTTAAGCCGCTAGTGCACAAGGTATTACCGCAGAGTCGCAGAGTCCCCACATTCCATTGGTGATGCATCGAATCGACTGTACTTTTGGTGACGCAGAGAAAGAACTTTGAACTTGTTTGCTTCGCTCATTAACTCATCCGCATTGGATAGGGACTCTTTTTCATCGGTGGGTTAACAACCTTCTTAGTCATGCCTCCGCTGTGAGATCCACCAGCGAATGTCTGGAATTCCCCCATTCGACGATCAGGCACACCACAATTTCCCGCCTCTCCTCTGGAATACCCCACCCAGTCTGACCGCATCCTGATCGCAATAAAAAGGTGGCATCTGTTAGATATAAAACCATCAACACGAGACGCGATACTCCACCTCCTTCGGCGTCCTCTGCGCCTTCCATTGAAGCTTCATCTGACGGTGGTGCATCGAACTCTGATTCCGCGGATCCTCCTCTGTCTCCCTTCTTTTTGGCGTCTCTATCCCCGTCTCACTCGCTCTTCCAACGTTCTCCACTTGTATCGTAAAAGAACAACAATAATTACGCCCCAGCTAGATCAGGGTCCGCGAAGAATTCTTCTGCTTCTTCTTCACGTTCTTTTTTTGCACATGTTTTGGCGCGCGGCGAAAAGAGATGGCGCTAGGACAGTGGGACAGAGACGGGGCGACTGGGAACGTGGGAAGGCGCACAGGCGCATAAAAATCCCCAAGCCGCAGACAGTGCAAAAACAAAAAGCAAGCCACTGCAAGAAGGGTTGGGGAAACGGGGTTCGAAGAGCCAAGAGCAGAAGACCCTGAGTAGAGGTACAAAAACAGAACCAAATGGAAAATGGAATGGAATCGAATCGAAGCGCAGTTAAATGAAATTTACTCTCTGCGCCGTCTGTTTATGTGTGTTTGTTTTTGTGTCTGGGCAACAAACACTCACACATACGCAATTATGAACGGGGTGAATGGACCCAAGGTGACGTCGCGTCGCTGTCAACGTCGCAGTCGACGCCAATGCTTCTTCTTCCTCAGACCAATTCGCGCGCCAAAACATTCCCCATTTATACCCTTTCAAGATTTTGGTTGAATTTGATTTCTGTTCGATTACGCTGACTGCAAATTTTTATAAGGAAAGTAGAATAAAATATAATTTTTTAAAGAAGGGTCTTTCAAATTTATCAAAAAATTGCACCAGAAACGTACAACTCGGATCTCATCTGTGAGAGTACTACCAACTCCAGCCTTTCCCAATTTTGCGCGCCAAAAGCGTTCCCCTTGACTGTTTTGACGTTGACCAGACTACAGACCACACATACCATATTCAAGGGGAGTGCGAAAAAGAGAGCCCCAAAAAGCTACTTGGCCATGGATGATGCTTCACAATGGGCGTGGCACTTGGCGGAGAGTCGGGGAGCGAGAATCGAGAGTCAAGAGTCGAGGAACAGAACCGAAACAGAAACAGGAGCAGAGAAACCTTCCAGAGAAGTTTTGGTTTGGTTTTGGTTCAATTCAGTTCATTTCGCTTTGCTCCACTCTGCTGCCGTCCCGTTTTTGCCCACTTCGGGTATTTGTCTTTGGCTGTTTTGCTTTGATCCCCTTATTCTGTCTGGGGGCACATTCGTTTTGTTTTTGCGCTCATTGCCATTGCACTGCACTTCGCCCGCCATTCGCTCTTTTTTCCCCTTGCTCCCCCTTTGATGGTTCTTCCACCGTACTTCGTACACAGCAAAAACAAAACCGATTTAATGTTGTTTCAGGTCGATCTGAACCTTAGAGGTCGGTTATGACTTAATTTTAAAAAAAGTAAGGAAGAGCAGTGGAAAAAAAAAACTTGAATGGTAGTTGTAGAATTACAAACCCATCGATTTTATTATTTTCAGAGTGGAATTGAGAGTTCCTTAGATTAGCTTATTTACGGTGTACGAATACCCTGTGCCAAGCTCCATGTAATGGCCCATCGTTCTCGTCATTCCCAGTGTCGTTTGTTGGCTTTGTTTACAAGCATTTGATGGACCACTAACACCGCACTTTCTGAGCGAACTCATGGATACACAAGCGCACACAGATACCCACACACTCACACTCACAGGAACCCAGAATGCGCGGGATTTTCTTTCAGTTTTCCCTTTTCTGCCATGGTGCGAATTATGAGGGAGCCCCCGAGAGGAAGAGAGAAAAACAAATGGCGAGAAAATTGTAATTCTCTTCGCTGGCTGTCATTCACCCACCCTCCACCCCCTTTGGCCATTTCCATTACCATTGAGTTGGTTTCTTTATTTTTTTATTAGTTGTACTTTATTGAATTCGCCGATTGAATGAATTGCTCAATGAGCTGCCCGCCGAAGACGTGCGGATGATGAGCAGCAAATTGATGGGGGATTGCCACGCTTTTCCCTGCTATTTGCTGTTTTTCCCGAACCCCCACCTCCCCGCATATTTCCCCTTTTTCGAGTGCAAAGTGCCGTGGAAATGGGGCGTGAGTGGCGCCCAGAAAGACAAAGTGACAAAAGAAATGCCAAAATAATGGCATTTAGTTGGCGTAATAACGTGGCACTTGAGTTAGTTGGGACTAGCCTGGAGTACTGTTCCGATATAACACCGGATTTTAATATAACAGTTTCTATATATATACAAAATTTAGTGGTAAAATGAAACAATCTGGTCTTACAACGATATGGTCAACCAAAAATTTTATTTTGCACCGCAAAAAGACCCCACCAATAACCCCAAACCACACAGCTTCGCGTTACGTACAACAGCCATAACTTTCGGAATCGGAATCTGAGTCAAAGTCCGAGTAGCAGCAACACACTTCTGAGCAGGATGGCTGAAGTGCAGTGCGAAAGTAGCTCTCATCGGCTTCTGTAAGCTCCATTTCCAAGTCTCCATACCGCCTGGGGGATCCGAAGTTCTGCAGTTGAATGGTTCGATTGACCAGAACCCTGAGATGAAGCTCCTCCTGCTCCTGACAGCACCGGAGCTGCTTGTACTCCTGCTTGTCCTTGTAGGTCTTGCACTTCTTGCACATCAATCTGGTGGACATTGCCCTTAGATCCTTAATAACCTGGTTCTGGGCATCGATCTGCTCGACCACCTCCAGATACTCCTTGTACATTGCCCGCTCCTCTTCGTCTTCCCCCTCGCTTTCCCCGAGGAGCTCGAATAGGTCTTTCTCCTCTTCCTCAGACTCCTCTTCCCCTTCAGCCTCGTTCTCATCGTCGTTGTCCGCGCCTTCGACTTTGTCTTCTCCTTCGAGATCCTCGTCGACCTCTTGACCTTCATTTTGCTCATCGATCACCTCTGCAGGGGGTTCCTCTTCCTCCACATCCGCCATTTGATTGGGTTTAAAGGGTTATTGGGGCACTACTTGGGCTTTAAGGATATACAACTACATAGCCGAAAACTGATTTAAAAAAAAAAAAACAGTTTTGTCGGCTAACTCAAAGGCAATTAAAAAATTTTTGAAAACAGTTACCCTTAAGAATCTTAACCAAAGTAATTGGTTATCTTAAAATTGAAATTGAATGTATTGGTTCATACGTTCTTCATATTCTTTGCTCAACAAATGATTGTGCTCTTCTAAACTCCTTCGCTACCATCCATTCAATAAACCCTTCTACTATAGCAACCAGTATTTCAACCGCCAATAATGGCGTAGTTTTGAACATCCACACAACATCTTTTTATTTCTCTAGCACGCCATCTTTAGCCCTTAATGCACGCATTTCCGGTTCCCCTATCGCTCGCTCGTTTCAAATTTTTTTGTACTTCTGCCATCATGAATTTTATGTTTTATTGCAGCTGTTGCGCTGTCAACGCTCCTTCCCTCGCCCCCGCCCCCTCACCCTTCCCTTCCATCGCGCTGATTCACGCTTTTATTGGCACTGTGATTTCTGGTGGCTGAATCCGGCGGATTACGCTTCAAGGCGCACCACTCGTCCGCTCCTTCGCAGTCGCATTAATCATAAAAATGCTACGCTCCGACTACAGAATGCAGTTTAATTTGGCATGAAGTGCAGTTCGCGGCAGGGTCGCTTCCTCGTTCTATCGGCAGTTAAGCGGTTTATAACCGATAACAACCTGTAAGCCAGTAAAGCCAGGGCGCGCATTTGATGACTGGACCCAACGACACAAGTTGCGGCTTTTACGGCGTCATATTTTTATGGCTGCAACCATCGCGATGACATCAAACTGGTTCATGGAATCGCATAATAGATGGATAGATCTGTATGAAATGTTCGCAGAATGTGGCAACAAAGATGGCATTTTGTGAAGACAACTAACAATGTATTGCCAAGATATGCAAATGTGTAAAGTTGGCGAGCATTAAATCATCACCATATAGCAAACGATTCGATGTAAGTTAACTAAAAATTGCCTTTTCTGGGAACTAATAAGATCTCTCGTTTTTGGTATTTGAAGAATACCTTAAAGTATAGTTCCTTGCAATATCATTCCTGGTTTATTTTTGGCATAATTCCCGCAGCAATTTGCTCGCGCGCCCCTGAAAATGACAGTCGGATTAGCAGCCAGCACAGACACACACAGCAAACTCGCAAATTCCCGACCCTTGTTATCCTGCCCAAGGACGAAGTAGAGAGCAGTGAGCATCATTAGCCTCTGGGCTTCTCCGGCCTTATCACAGTTGAATGCTCTTCGATTTGCTCCAAGTCGGATTACGTATACGACACGTTAAACACGTTAAACGTTTAAAGACGGCGTCGCCCATTGTAAAACAAATAAAGGACACAATTTCATTACAAAGTTCAGAGCAAGCATAGGCCGCCTCTATCCCGACTCACACATCCTTTGATTTTTCCCTGGCCCTTTCTCCTTTTTCCAGGATCTCTTTCAGGCTGTGTGCAAGTTGCATGCAAGTTTTTTGCCGCTCCTACTTTTGTTTTCTTTTGTCTTGCTTTTTTCCTGTGCTATTGTTGCAACGAGGGGGGTCGTTTTTTGTTTATGCCTCTACTGCATAAAATGATTTCATTAAAAAAGTTGTAAAGTTTTTCATTTAATTTAACTGCAGCAAACAACATCTTTTGTGCAGCGTTTCTTCTTCTGCGTTTTCTTTGCCTTCTCCGCCTTTTCCGCCTTTTTCCACTGGCAACTATCTTTTCAGTTAGCATCTGCTGCCAGGATTCAGGATTCAGGCCCAGATTTAACCCGCCCGCAGCCCCCGGCAGGCCAAGGTTTTTTTGGATGGGTTTCAATTAAACTTTTCCATTCCGATTCATAGTAAATTGCTCAATCTGCCTATCCAAGTGCTTCCCAGCAGGTGCTGGTCAATACAAGCCGAAAGAGCATCCTGAATTGTGACATCTTTTAGGACCGAATCTGCGCTTTTTACTACTTGCCAAACCTTTGAAAGTTTATCTGTGATTTACCCAAAGGACTTATGCATTTACATTAAGATGTAAAGTAAAGTATATTTAAGATTTATAGAAACCAAGAAAATCTGTTTGTACAAGGTGATGGTAGGATGGCAAGATATTGGTGATTGATTTTTAACTTCCCTTATTTAACAAGACCCCACACCTCAAAAACCAAATTTAATGTACTTTATGCTCTTCCCAACTTGACACACATCTGATAATTTCCTCATCCAATTCTCATACATTTTCATGCCCCAACCTCTTGGGTATTTAATTTCTCGACTCCAGCGGAGCTTGACTTCCTTTTTTGTTATTCTTTTTAATCATCCAACATTCACAGAACATAATTCAATTAGGGCCATAATAGATGGTTCGTGTGGGGGTGTGAGGGCGTGAGGGCGTGCTGGGACCACCCCCTCCCCGGCCAGCCCCTCGTCATGTAGCACGACAACATGTCGTATTAGTAATATTTAAACACAAAAGCTCAGCAAATGTTGACATGCGTTGCCATTAGACGGACGAAGCGATGCATTCTGACACGCACAAGGGATGACGCCGTAGGCGGCGCTGGAAAAGCGGGAAAGTGGGCGGGGCAGACCTAAAAGGAAATTCAATTTTCGCACAAAGAAGGTTGGGAGGCAAAAAAAAAGAGAAAAAGACGAACGAACACCAATAATAACAACAATAATAAGCTGCTTAGGAGCTAGCGATGCGAAAGTGAAGAAATGCGTTGTAATTCCACATGATGAGCTGGGGGTTGGCCCCACCCCCGGGGGAGGGGTTGTTCGTAGGAGGGGTGGCATTAAGCCACTGTGTAGCTTGCATGTCAAGGAATGCGGTTGCATGTGCCACGAGCAAGACCTCTCTACTTCAAAGCGACACTCCACCGCCCAAAAACCCCACTCACACTGCGGCACACTCACAAAAAGATCTTCAACTTATTCCATTGAATCGAAATAAATCAAATATAACGTATCGAACAGTCACACAACTGAGTTTTCATGTTTCAGCTCCTTTTACATTCATGCCATTGTACACCAGTCTTAAGCAAAAATAGTTTTTTTCAGTATTCATTGGTTCTGAAACAGGGAATGAACATTTTTAAAATGATTTTATCACAGTCAACAGATAAATTTAAAAAAATTAGAAACATATTTTTTCATGTGCAAAGGAGTGGGTGTGTGTCCATGTGTGTTGTGTATATCTTTCTATGAAATGTGTCATGTTGACAGCGTGGAAATGTCACTCATGCGGCATCGTAATGAGTTTTGCCAACGTCAGCGACGCTGCAACAAATTCAGCGACAACAACCAGAGTCCCCCAGCAAGTTGTTACTTTGGGGCCAAAGAAAGGAGCGGGAGAAATTCCTCAGCTACATTGTTTGCCCAAAAGCAAGAGGAAATCATTGGAATATTGAAAAACTTTCCTTTGTCAGGGCGTTGGATCAACAACCCTAATTCAACTGATTGTAACAATGTGAAATGCTGGAGTCTTTAATATGACTGGAGTGTCAATTCCATAATATGCTTGCAATATAGGTAAATTTTAAATCTTGGATTTATAACTTATATTTTTTGTGTTTCTTGTGCCTTTCTGTTTCAATTCTATGTATTACAAAAGCTTACAAAGATAATACACTTTTTTTCCTTGGCAAGGCTGGCATCAACTCAAAACTCTATGATAAAAAGGGGAGGAAGGGGTCGTTGAAGATAACATTTGTAAGAGACAAAAGCCAAAAACCCTACCAGAGAATAAGAAGGGACTGAATTTGCTGTCGGCCATCAAAATCTGTTTGGCAAGAGTGAGAAGATGGGCTCTTTTCCCATTGCCCACCTAAACAATGAGCCTAACCAACCTCACCGCCCACACATATAGTATATATAGTATCAGTACGTAGAACGTAATCGTAGACGTAGACGTAAACGTAGACCGGAACCGAGAGGAAAGTAGAGAAAAGCAGAGAAAGCAGAGCAACCATCGTAGAATTTCCATTGTAGTAGAATTTCACAATAATTGCAATGCAGTTGCACCAGAGCACACACACAGAAGTACACAGAAATATATATATCTATACATAGTATATATATATAGTATAGTTGTAGTATGCTCTATATACTTTTGCCTCTTTCGGTCAGAGCGAAACAGAGATATGGAGAGAGTGGGAAGCGAGAGTGAAAGAGAATGTAGCGAGGAAAATATCGATCGATTTTTAAATGAATTTAGGTCACACCGACCCCAGTAACCCAGTACCCCAGTCCCAACCCTTCAGCCACTCAACCCCTTCCCCGCCCCTTCCCTGGGGCAACTGCAGTCGCCCCGGGAGGCGGGGAGTGCGGAGCGAACGGGGTTTGCATCTCGTAGATACGTAGATACAACCGAAATGAAAATGTCAGCTGCCTTCTGCTCACGTAACTTATTTTAATTCAAATCAAATGGGGAAAATAGATTGAAATGAAGGCGGTCCCCGCATCTTACTATATATTTCCCTTATTTTTTGGGAAATGTCTGGGGAGTCGCCCGAGGGGAAGAAGCAGAGATAGTCGGAGGACAAGTGGAGGCAGCAATCCCCACACGCACTCGCCTTTTGCCATGGCCTTGGCTTGGCGAAAGGAGGCAGCAATGGTGCATTCAAATTGCACACAGCGAGTATTTATATGTACTTACGTAGATTATATTAGATTTAAGATTTTTCTTTAGTGATTAATGCAAAGCCAAGTGGACTAATGCACAAATCATTGGAATGACTAATGAGGAGCAATCCAAAAAAGAAGTTCTCTAACTAACTAACTAGCATTGCTTTTCTCGAAGTGCAGCCCAGCACCCGTGGATTGCCGCTCCGCCCCCCTCGATTGCCCATGCCAGACACGCGCCATCAACATGTGCATTTTACGAGCCAAAAAGAAAGATGACAGGGGCAGCAGGAGACCGGAGCGGAGAACGGGGGCGAACCATTGTTGATGTCTTGGGAAAACCTGATGTATGTAGCTACCCCCGCTGAATGATGATTCCACCCAGACCCAAGCCGGCGTTGCAACTAATTTTACGTTTTTATGACACTCCC